TTTTATATTAGGGGCGTAGATATTCAGGATTGAGACTTTCTCCTGATTAATTGTTCCTGTTATGAGTATGAAATGTCCATGTCCATCTCTTCTGATTGATTTTAGTTTGAAGTCAATTTTGTTAGATATTAGAATGGCCACACCTGCTTGTTTCTTAGGTCTGTTTGCTTGGAAAACCTTTTCCCAACCCTTGACTCTGAGTAGATGTCTATCTCTGTGGTTGAGGTGTGTTTCTTGTAAACAGCAGAATGTTGGATCCTGTTTTCTTATCCAGTCTCTAAGTCTGTGCCTTTTTATAGGTGAGTTGAGTCCATTAATATTAAGTGATATTAATGACCAGTGGTTGTTGATTCCATTTATTATTATTTGTGTGTGTGTGTGTGTGTGTGTGTAGTAGAGTTTGTGTGTTTCTCTTCTTTGAGTTGTGGTTGTGAAGGGTCGCTAGATGTCTGGGTTATTGTAGGTAGTGATGGCAATGTTGGATTCCTTGGGTTGCGATTTTACTTCTATTACTTTCTGTAGGGCTGGATTTGTGGCTACGAATTGTTTAAATTTATTTTTATCCTGGAATATTTTGTTTTCTCCGTTGATAGTGAACAATAACTTGGCTGGGTATAGTAGTCTGGGTTTGCATCCATGGTCTCTTAGTTTCTGCAGTACCTCTATCCAGGATCTTCTGGCTTTCATGGTTTCCATAGAGAAGTCTGGTGCAAGCCTGATAGGTTTACCTTTATAAGTCACTTGACCTTTTTCCTTTGCAGCTCTTAATATTCTTTCTTTAATCTGAATGTTTTGAGTTTTGATTATTATTATTTGGCGAGGGGACTTTTTTTTTGATCCAGTCTATTTGGTGTTCTGTATGCTTCTTGAACCTTCATAGGAATATCGTTCTTTAGATTGGGAAAGTTTTCTTCTATAATTTGTTAAATATATTTTCTGGGCCTTTGATCTGCAGTTCTTCTCCTTCTTCAATCCCTATTATTCTGAGATTTGGTTTTTTTTTTTATTTTTGTGTCCCAGATTTCCTGAATGTTTTGTGAAGAGAATTTGTTGGATTTGCCGTTTTCTTTGACCAGAGCATTTATTTTCTCTATGGTATCTTCAGAATCTGAGATTCGTTCTTCTTTCTCTTGTCTTCTATTGCTTATGCTTGATTCTATAGTCTCTGTTCGTTTACCTAGGTTTTCCATATCCAGCTGGTTCTCGTTTTGTGTTTTCTTCATTGCCTCCATTTCAGTTTTCAATTCTTGGACTGTTTCCTTTACCTGTTTGATTGTTTTTTTCTTGGTTTCTCAGGGTATCATTCACGGATTTACTTATTTCTTCAAATTTTTTGTTATATTTCTCATCCATTTCTATACTCATTTCTTCAAATTTTTTGTTATACTTCTCGTCCAATTCTTTAAGGGAGTTATTCATATCCTGTTTAAGGGACTCTATTGTTTCATAATGTCACTTTTTTCCACTTCATCTGGGTTAGAATGTTCAAGTCCTTCTGTTGTAGGGTCGTTGGGATCTGGTGTTTTCATGTTGTTTTTCAGATTGTTGGAGGAGGTCTTGCCTTGGCGTCTGCACATCTCTTCGTTCAAATGCTCTCTATTGGAACTTCTGGTAACGGGTCAGGTTCCCTTGTTGGGCAGGGAGTTCACTGATAGAATGCCTACCTTTCCTCAGATAGGCTATTGAAGCACAGGCACTCCCTCTTTCCTGGATGTGCCTACAGAGCAGGCCCAGTGTGCAAGGCAGCTGAGCTGGGGAAATTTTATGGCCCCAGTGGGAAGGGAGAAATATAGAAATTTGTACCTGGATGGAAGCTGGGATTGGCAGGCGGGGGAGTTTAGCAGGGTGGAACCAGCACTGCAGATTGACCTGGGAGTCTATGGGGTTGGGGAAAGTCCGAGCTCCTCCTCGCCGGCCCCTGCCACTGGCCCGAAGCAAACTCACCCCTCCGATGGCCCTCTGGATGGAAGCTGAGATGGCTGGCGGGGGCACTAGCAGGGTGGAGCCAGCAGTGCAGGCTGACCTGGGAGTCTAAGGGGTCGGGGAAAATCCGAGCTCCTCCTCGCCGGGCCCCTGCCACAGCCCGAAGCAAACTCACCCCTCCCATGGCCCTCTGGATGGAAGCTGGGATGGCTGGCGGGCTTACAGATTTTTTTTAAAGGTACATATATTGGCAGAGATTCTTCATCTATTTCCTGACCACCCAAAACCGAAATAAGCACCCAGAAACTGTATTATTAATATATTGCTTAGCCTATTATCTTATGCATATTTACAGGTAGCTCTTTATCTAAAATTAACCAATTTCTGTTAATCTGGGTATTGCGCAGTGGTTATGGCCTACTGGTAAGGTTTCATCCAGCATCTGGCGTCTGTCTTATGTGGCAGCTTCTTGATTTCTCTCTGACTCTGACTTTGACTCTGACTCTGCCTACACTTTCTCTGTATCTCATCCAGCCTGTCTATATTCTGTTAAACCACTGGTCAAAAAGAGCTTCTTTATTAAGCAATAGCAATAAAACAGATTCATAGTAAACAGAAGAGAATCCCACACCACCTTCCCTATTTGTCAAAATAAAAAGGAATGTTTTAACTTTAATATAGCAAGATTACATACAACAAAACAGTTATCAAGCAAGAATTACAGTTATAATATTTATATTTACTTATCTTTTATCATAACTAAGAAAAATATATAATAACTATCTATTCTTCAACTCTATCAAAGACTCCAAAACAATATACTATTACATAAGAAATCAAGAAGTGCATTGTAAACAACTTCCAAAGTTCTAGAATTGACAGAGACATCTCTACATGGATAGTCACCTAAAGTTCTTCTGTAACATTGGGGCACCCATGTTCAGCCTACAGCTTCATAGTATCAGGTAGACTTTTCCATGAAGCAGGAAATTTCAAAGACAGTGCTACCTATATGGTCAGTTTGTTAGTAATTTTCTTCTGAATTCTACAGAATGTCTGGAAAACTTTTTCATGAAGCAGAAACCCTGAAGGAGCATCCCACCTTTAGGCAAATACAGGAGTCATTTTTCTGTGGGTCCTGTGTGTCCATTAAGCATAATATGAAGCCATCTAGGCAAAAGCAGTTTCTTGTCCAAATGGTTAACAAACTTCAAAGGAGCCTCTTTGATGCCCATTATCATCTTGACATAGATTGTTCTGCCAGGAGATGGGTCTCATTGTCCTGAAAAGTCCCAATTTCTTAAAACATTTTAAATGCTATATTTCATAGATTTTGAAGTGTTGAACATTATCTATCCAACTAGAATATATCTCTATATATCTAGAAAACCTAACTAACCTATCATGACTACAAGCTTGACTTATAGATAATTATCTATTAACCTAGATTTCTTAATTATACATTACTTTTTAATGAGTCACACAAACACAATACCTTAATCAAGAGCAGAAATATACATATAATAAAATTGACCTTAAATTTGTATCAATAGATCAAGATCCATACAAATGCAATGTGTTTTTCTCTATAATATATCCACCTTTAAATGTAAATAAACATTTATAAACAATCATTTAGGGAATTTGGGTATAGTTCTCTTCAAAAGGCTTCTTGGTCTTTGTTAGGTGAAGTAGATTTGGATGCTTACAGCTACCTATCAGAGGGTCTTGATTTTTCAATCCAAATTAGCATGGACGAATCCACAGGTTCTCATTTTATGTGGAAACAAAAGCAGAACATCTTTTCCAAAGCAACATACCCTTAAACCCAAATTTTGAGGTCAAGACACCTTTAGAATATTACTGTTGTTTTAGCTTAGCAGACTCAAAATCTGTAGTCAAAAATTTCAAAGAAAGCACAGTAATATACTTAATCCAAAATCTCTGTGTATTTTTTTCTTTACGTGACTTATTTTTCTTTATTCCTTTAAACTATGACAGTCTGTACTGTGTCTCTTTTAAGACTTTTAGAACATTTACTTCTTTTTAATAACTTTTTCTCTCTCCCAAGCGTATGTACATTTATCTAACACTGTGTCCCATTTAGAGGACATTTTGATCTGGATTTGTCTTTATTGCATGCCTATCTGTAATTATTTTTTACCAGGAGCGTTTTCTTTTCTAAATGCTAAGTGGGCATGGCTTTGATCAACTCCACTCTCCATCTTTTGACTTGGCCCAGTGCAACATGGCGGAGGTTGTTCACTGCCTCTGAGAGTCATGCACATTGCTTCAACTCCAGGGTTGCAGTGGGTCTGTGTCACCATTAGAAATTTGTAACATGCTTTGAACAGACCCTGCTTAAGTACTCAGACGCCTGAAAGGTCAAGAGCTGTTAATGCAACTAGCACAAACCAGGAAGCTGAAATTTTTTTGTGTTTTTTCTTTAATTATTTGCTGCTAATGATGAATCAGAAAGACATCTCTTAAATGATCTGCTGCACCCCAATCACTACCAGCAAACAGAGCCCATCTGAAAAAATAATGAAGCTAAACTTTGTTATTTGTAGCTTGAATTCTATTCCAATTTCTCTCAGGTTTTATGTGGATTTAGCTGGCACACATTGGCACACCAATCTTTTAGGTGAGACTGCTTACTCATTCCCCAGCAACCCAAATCTGAAATAAGCACGCACAAATTGTATTAATTAAAGCACTGTTTGGTCTCCTAATTTGCTTATTTCTAGCTAGCTCTTATATCTAAAATTAACCTATTTCTATAAATCTGTGTATTGCCATGTGGTTGTGGCCTACTGGTAAGATTCTTTCTGGCATCTATCTCTTAAGGAGGCTCCACAGCTTCTCTCTGACTCCTCCTACTCTCTCTATATATCTCCTCCAACATGGCTATATTCTGTTAAGCCACTTGCTGAGAGCAGGTTCTTTATTAACCAATGGCAATAAAACATAATCATAGTATACAAAGGTGAATCCCACATCACATATTTAAAACAATTTAGTAAAAGAGAGACAAAATTATAAATGTAGTATTTGCTAATAAGCTCATGCATGTCACATTGAAGCCAAATAATATAAAAAATTGATTCAAATATTTGTGGAGGGTATGGCATTTGAAGGTGAACTTGGTATATGAATCAAAACTGCATAGGATAATATAGATAGAGGAAAAGATTCCAAGGAAATGAAAGCTCCATTGCAGTACAGTGAAAAGATTATGGAGAAAAAAGAATCCTCATTCATGGTTGGTAAGAATAAAAATTGGTGCAGCCATTTTCAAAAAATTACGTGGAACATCCTGAAAAAAAAGAAAAAAAAATGAATACACCAGATGACTTCACCACCCCACCCATTATTTGGAACATGGTCAAAGGACTTGATATTCTGCTCTACAGATAATTTATTAAACAATCTTTTGCCAAAATAGTTAGGAGATAGAAATGGCCCCAAATTCCATATCCGAATAATGGATAATGCAAGTGTGACAATTTACCCAGTGGAAAATTATATATCTTTAAAGGAAACGGAAATCATAAAATTTTCCTTTAAGTGAATGGATCAATAGAAGACAATATTGAATCAGGTAACCCATGACTGAAGGTTGTGAGGAGGAGTAGGAGGGAAAAGGGGGAATTAAAACCAAAGTGCAAGATGTCTCAAGGTCAAATTATTTTTACTTGAAATTATGCACTAAATTGCACAAGATTAGAAAAATAGGAGAGAGAGAGAGAGAGAGAGAGAGAGAGAGAGAGAGAGAGAGAGAGCGCTAAGGTGTTTCGTAGGAAAAAATAATTTTTATTATACAACGTTTAGATGCTTATATGTTGTTCCTTGAATGCTGAATCTTGTGTACTTCAGGAGCTACATGTTGAGAGGATTCTGAACAATGGGAACAAAAGAAGTCATCTGCATGGCAGACTGGAGTCTAGAGAGGGCCCATGTGCAGAAACCTGCCAAGAGGAGGAGCTCGCATCGTGAAGAAACTGATTTCCTTCTTCCCATCCTTTTAGAGTTCTCCACTGACATCCTTAACAGAAGCCAGCTGGCTCGGGAACAATAGTTGGCTCACTTCTGTTCCTGGCATGGTCAGGAAATATAGATTTGGCTTTCACAGACAATCAGTTGATTACTGGCCAAGGAGCTGATTTTGCAGAAAGAAATGTTAGGCTGGAAAAACAGGATATATTTGAGGGTATGGTTCAAGATGTAAAATGTTGCTGTCTTTGCTAATTCAAATTTAAATAGAATTCAACATTTCTTTCCTTGGAAAAGAACCTCACATATTAATATACAAATATAAAATAGTTGGGGTAGGTTACAATTTGTATTACATGAACATATAAACAATCTTTCAAGGACAACATATCCTTTAGGAAATGAAAGATCTGAAGTTAATGAGTTCCTCTCTACTTATAATGTCATGTTTTAATTAATGCAAACTAGAGTTGGAATAAATATAATTAGTGTGTTTCACATTTTCAGGGAATAAATGTGCCCAATATTCAGTGCCTTTCAATACTATTACACAATTTTGTTTTAGTAAAAACAATCAGGAATTTCGGTTTCCATATGCTGAAGAATCTTAACTATTCAATTTTTCCTCAAATTATTTCTGACTGTCCTTAAACACAGAATGTAGTGTTTGAGGTACCAAGTATCGATTAGCATGTCACTGTGTAGGTATCTCTCTAAACAAGAGGTTGGTGGATGTGCTCTTAGTTTTACATTGCTGTCTTAGAATATATTTCAGTAGCTACCCGAGAAGATGTTCATCGATGAAACAATGGCTATGTATCAGAAAGGTTTATTTTCCAGAAAACAGACAGAAATATTTGATTAAATATGAAAAATAACAATTTAGTTCAATGTTATTATTTCAGTATAACCTTTGCTAAGGAAGAGTTAAAAATCTGTGTAATATTACATGTTTTTGAGGGTAAATTCATTTTGCTCCATTGAGGTCATCCTTTTTAGACAGTAGCCCAATTCCACATAGTAGGAGCTGACTAGTTCTTGAAGCATTGTTAGTTTACAAATTTAATCTTAATGAGATTTTTAGTGTTTCTAATCAGCAAGGTGAAGTTGATTTTTTACAAAAACTTTTTAAGAATTTGTTTCTAGGTGAGAGTATAGCAACTGGCTGTCTAAGGACAAAATTTCAGTACTAAAAATGATATACAGACTAAGTAGGTTATACTTAAGGATATATACTTATATACATATGTGCATGCAAAAACAAAGAAAGAGACAGGCATTTAATTTAGAATTTTATTTTGAGCAAGGTTTTTATACCTCTGTCTCCTCTACAATGCCTTAGATTATTTTTTATATTCTTTTCATGCTTGTGGCCTCTGGGGTTCTTGTTTGAGGTTCTAAATTTTGCATTTCCAGTTTTATCTCACTTTATATTTTTTTTAATGACTCCACTTCCTCTTTTTTTTCTTGAATGTTTTCTTTTTGTCATTCCACTATTTAATTATTTTCATTGAACAATTCATTCATAACCTCCTTAAGGTACTTGAAAGTATTCACGATAGATATTTTGAAGACCATCTTTCATGCTTCAGGTATCTTGAATTTCTTAGAACCTACTGCAGTAGGGTTCCTATTGAGCTCTAATGGAGCCTTATTGATCTGGATGTTATTGATTTTGTTTTTCATTTGTTGGCATTTGGGATTGAGATGGTTGTAATTCTAGGTGCTAATATCTGGTCTTGTCTTTGTTGTATGGGTGTTACATTCTTTGGTTTCTGTTGTGTGGTGACTGAGATGCCTGATAGGGAGAGCTTCCTTTATATGTGGCCACTGGGGATCCTGCATAGACTGTGTTTCTCTGTTTTGAGAAATGAAAGAAGTAATTGGGTTAGGCTAGAACTCTAGGAGAGAGAAAAGCTGAATCTGCCACAAGGATTTGTGAAGTATCCAGGGAATAGAAGAAGAATGGGAAAACAGGCACTGTTGGATTGTCTACTACAGGGCAAGGGTTGAAACTCGGAAATGGGAATTGGCGGACATGAGGGAAACTGAAGATTACCTGTCCTTTCCTTTGCTGTTGTGGCCATCTGGATTTCCAATAAGAAGATTGCCTTCAGTGTTGATGGCTAAGACAAATGGACAAAGTGAGGTTGGAAGGCTGTGGGAGGAGATCTGCATAATCACTGGAAATGTGCTCTAGCAGCAACCACAGATTTGAAGAATTTGATGGGAGGGGGATTTGGAAAGATTTGAGGATGGAAAAGGGAGGGAGAAATGCTCTAACAATGTAATAATAACATAAATGCATAATACTAAATAAACATTATTTTCTTAAATGTTACTTCATGTGTACACAGGGATAGGATGATGAGCTTGGATACGCTTTAAAGAAAACCTTTAAAAAATAATAAATTGATCAGTGTGCTCAGTACACCTCTTTTCAATCAGATTCTTTCAAACCTTGTTATTTTCTGGTTTTCAAATGACCAATGAGAGTCATGCCAATCCACCAAAATAAGCACAATTTTTCATGAATTTCTGGCTCATAAAATAGAGTTTTGGACATCATACAAAAACATTTTCAATAGATTTTATGTTTAGATTGGCCACAAATAAAGATGTGAATTCTCACATGTTGGATTTTTTTCAGGAGCAAAAATGAAAGGAAGATATTCAATATATCTCTAACCAATTTTGGTACCAATGTCTTTCCCTATAATAGCTGCCCATGACAACACTGTCTTTGAAAATCCAGCTTTGTTTGTATCAAGTGTCAATACTTATCTGTTTTTATTATTATACTTTAGTGGTAGATATACTAAACTAACTAGTGGAAACTTTAAATATATCCCTCCATGACCTTTTTGTTTTATTAAATTGTGAAAGAAAACAGCAATATCTGCTAAGAATACACACACATGTATGTATGTATGTCTGTACACAAGAAATAATTATGTGTAATTGTTTCATGTATCTTACACAACCGTGCAGATAGCACCACTAAAACATACTCAGCACCTGCTTACTTTCCTCTTTGTGCAAAAAAACATTGGAAAATCAAATCATGTCGCTCCAAAACTTCTACACCAAAGACACCTGCCACCTTCTTTATTGCTTATAATACATGTGTGTAAAAGGCAATGTAAATAACTGAGACAAGATTTAGAAAATGTAGGAAATTTATAATCAGGATGTGTATAATTATGTTTTGGTCTTAGATAAATGACTGGGAGTTTTGATTAGGAGAATATAGAACAAACCCTGATATTTCAAGATTTTAAATTTTAAAATGTGAAGGAACTAAAGAATTTGCAAGATCTGGATTCCAAAACATCTTGACATGTGAGTGAAATTCACTAGGCTTATAGGATAATAATTAGCTACGTTAAACAGAGTTTTTTACAGTATTTAACAAAGTAACTGTACAAACACAGAGAAGAAAAAGCACCACTGGTTTAAAAACATAATATGACAGCTTCTTGACAGCAAAATCAAAGGCATTAACAGTGACTCAAGCTCAGAACATGAGTCACAATGCACCATACTGCAAAGAGAAGTCGTTTGCATCAGCTGGTGTTGATAGACATACAGAATAAGAACAGTGATAGGCACATAAAATAAGGACAGTGACAACTCTGTCTGTCCCTGGATAGAATCTCAGTGTGTTCAGTTACAATCACTGAGTTTAAGAAATATATTGATAAAGAGGATGACATTCTGAGCAGAAGCCCAGCATCGGGAAGGTAATAGACAGCATGACAGATGAAGTCTCCTTACAGGAATTGAAAATATTGAATCTGTAGTTGAGAAGGCTTGAGGGGAAGTTGAGAGCACCTTTCAAATAGCCCAAGAGCTTTCATGTGTGAGAGGCCTCAGATTGCCTGCTGATGGCCCTGCAGTGTAATGCTGGAAGTGAAAGTGAAAACTCCATGGAGCCCAATTTCAGCTGAATGTAGGATTTTCTACCACTCACAGCTGTCCACACAGACCCCAGGCAGTCCCTGTGGACAATGAAACTCAGGCCTAATGGTTTCTATATCATGGATAGTACCCAGGCACATCCTGGACAAACATGCATTTAAAATTTTTAAAGAAGGAATGCAACATCAGATAGAAACTGCCTGAGCTGACCTTAAGTTCTCCAATCTCTCCCTCCTGTTGGAGTTTGTACAGAAGAAACTTTTAGCTTTCTGGCTTCTGATTATATTTGTTTCTGTAACTACACTTATTAAATACTGAGGACTTTATTTTGTTTTATTTATAAATTTAATTTATAGCATTGTATCTATTTACCAGTGACAGAAAGAAAAAAATTCATACTTGTATATACAAACATTTGTACACATTTTAACCATATCACTAATTTGCTTCACAATTTAATGAGAATCCACTAAAATATATTGAGAAATGTCTTTATAGAGCAAGTATTAGCAAAATGTAAATGTCAACATAATTTCAATGGTCATACAAAAACCACGTATAGAACAAACATACCTATAACAGAGAAGTATGCGAATCATTGACCCTCTGTTGTTCTTTGGTCTCAAAACCTGAGCACCAAGGTTTTCTTCAATACAGGAAATCTGTGAGTTACAAGACACGATAGCGACTTCATTATTTCTATTCCCCTTTTCCTGTATTGATTCACTTATTTTAAAGATTCATACATATTAAGCAGTGTGTTATTGCTTCTTCTAAAGTGAATCTTACCCTCAGCACGCTGTTTTTACTATCAAAGATCTGTTGCTGTGATTGACACTTCTTTTTGCAGCAACTCCTGCATGAAAGTGCAGTGCAGGTCTCTGCTACCTACTCCTGAAGCGTACTCCTCTCACAACAACACAATGGCCTTACTCTTGATATGTAGTCCCAGCAAACTCTTCCCTTTCCACTTTGGCCTCCGCTGGTCTATTATTTGTCAAGAACCATAATTTAGTGAATTTTTATAAATCCTTTGGAGTTGCAGAGGCTAATCTTCAGATTATGGAAAAGCACTACTACGCCTGAGCATGTAATCTACTTGCATATATTAGGACAGTATTTCTGAATGTTTCTTGATAAATATCAATCTCAGTCATGAAAACCAAGTCTAATCCATTTCATTGTGTTGTATTTGGGGTCTAGAGGAAAACAATTAATGTATCACTTTTGCTCCTTCTTCTTTTCCTCCTCCTTCCTTCACTTCATTCTCCTCCACACTTTCATTTTAATTTTGAGACCATATTTTAATTACAGTTCCCCCTTCTCTTTCCTCCCTCCAAACCCTCCTAGAATCCCTTCTATTCTCTAATAGAAAGCCTCTATTCTCCTTCCAATTCATTGACTTTTTTCACAAATATTTATTGTTTTGTATACGTACTTACCTATGCATATATAACCCTAAATATAACCTGCTCACTCCTTATGATACCCTCTCTCTCTCTCTCTCTCTCTCTCTCTCTCTCTCTCTCTCTCTGTGTGTGTGTGTGTATGTATGTGTGTGTATTTCAAAGCTGACCATTTGACATTCACAACCAACTGATGTGCTTTTCCATACCCAGCTTTACTCAATTGCTTGTAGTTATTTGTAAATCGATCAGGCTCTAAGAACTCTTCATAGTTCTTCATAGTGCTGTTTGGCATGTTTTTTTATGTCCTGCTTATTCAAATCATGTTTGGGCAGTTATTTTGATGACACTGTGGCTTTGATGTAGCTTTTGATGTTCCTAGGAGATTGAATTTCACAGCAAACTCCCTGTTCCTCTTGCTCTTACAACCTTTCTGTCCGCTTCCAGTGAAATTACCCCCAAGCTTTAGTTATGGGAAAGTTTTGTAGATGTATCCATTGCTACTTGCCCCAATAGCTCTGCAAAATGATTGGTTGTGATTTTCTTTTATTGTTTCCATCTATTAGAGAGAGAATATTTCTTCTCTGAATTTATTTTTTTCTTTTTTATTAAGATTTTTAATACAATTTTTTCTCATTATACATAGATATCCCCGTTCCCACTCCCTCTCCTCCTTCCACTCCACCCTTCCTTCCATCGCACTCTCCATCCACTGCTCAGAAAGTGTAAGGGAGTCAATAAAGTCTGACACTTCACTTCTAGGCAAGACCAAGACCTTCCCCCTTGTATGTAGGATGAGCAAGGTATCAATACAAAAAAAGTGCTCCTAGATGCTGGTTCAAGCACTAGGGATAAATCCTAGTACCACTGCCAGTGGCCCCAGAAACTGCCCAAACATCACAACTGTCCCGCACATATAGTGACTTAGTTTGACCCTGTATAGGTTCTCCTGTTATCAGTCCAGACTTAGTGAGATCACACTAGCTCAGGTCTAGTGTTACTGTAGGTATCAATATCATGGTCTTGATTCCTTTGCTCATATTATTGCTCCTCTCTCTCTTGTTAGGGTGAAGACTTAAGACCCATTTAACAAGGGGAATATTATGCTTGGTAATGGAAGCCTAGTAATCTGACCAGTGCTAATGAAATCATGATTACTGGAGGAAAATCTACAACTAACTTGTTATTTTTAAAATTGAAAGCTTTCTAAAGGAAGTTGAAATTGAATAATGGCTGCTTCGATCAAAAACACCAATGATAGCCTATGCTGGAGAGGATGTGGAGTGAGGGGAACACTCATCCATTGTTGGTGGGAATGCAAACTTGTGCAGACACTGTGGAAATCAGTGTGGCTGTTTCTCAGGAAACTGGGAGTCAACCTCCCTCAGGACCCAGCAATTCCACTCTTGGGAATATACCCAAGAGATGCCCTATCATACTACAAAAGTATTTGTTCAACTATGTTCATAGCTGCAATATTTGTAATAGCCAGAACATGGAAACAACCTAGGTGCCCCTCAATAGAAGAATGGTTAAAGAAGGTGTGGAACATATATACATTAGAGTTTTACTCAGCGGTAAAAAACAATGACATCTTGAATTTTGCATGCAAATGGATTGAAATAGAAAATGCTTTACTGAGTGAGGTAACCCAGACCCAAAAAGAGGAATATGGTATGTACTCACTCATAAGTGGATTCTAACCATAATTAAAGGACTTCGAGCCTATAATTCGTGATCCTAGAGAAGCTAAATAAGAAGGTGAACCTAAACGATTTCTCAAACTCTAATGTCTGCTG